GGTGCACTGCTTAGTTTTCCCTCTATTATTTTCCAGATGTTTCCTTTGACCATCTTTCAACAGTGTCAGACTGATATTTTTATTTTTCCCTTAAATGACTATTCTTGATATAGTTTTCTCAGCTCTTACAATACCACCACTTGGGCAAGTGAGTTTCTACAATTAAGTTTAGTGCAGAGATCYGACTAACGTGACATGTTTTGTGCCCCAAACACTACATCTTCCTGCTTCAATCCTCCTGCAATACCTCATCCTTCAAATGTCTTGGACTCACCTCTGCTTCTGTGGCAGTTCAAAGCAGACAATAAACCAAACRTCAGAGAGATAAATGTGGAAAGAGATGGATGGGGTCATCCTTCAAACCAGACCACCATTTTCAAAGTCTTAGGTTTAAGTCCTGTCTTGCTATTATCAGCTTATCATTGTAAAAAAAAAAAAAAAATCAACTAGAGAACACAATATTCTTAAACCACAAACCATTTTGGATTTAGCCCACTCTGAAGTATTTGAGAGGTATGGTGACCAGCTCTATAACAGGTAGATAATTCAATATTGGCACACATGTCCTTGGGTTAAAATTTGTCATTTGAACATTACAGAAAGTTTCAGAAGGAAAGGTTCCTTGGAGAGTTGTTGTATATCAACAGTCAAAGCCTGTCTAGTTCCAAAAGTCACAACAAAGTGGCCAGAAATAGTTCTCCCTATTTGAGAAAACAAACCCCATACCATTYAAGATGCAAATGTCCCCTTTTTTGCTTCCTACCAGACAAGGACATGCTATCAATTACTTTTAATCCAAAAGTGAGATGGTTTTGCACAAATTACAAGATCTCTTTGCACATGTTATTTTATTGAGTGGCAAGTATCTGCCTGTATATGTATTACTTTATGCTTGCACAGAGACATATTTACTACTGAATCTTGACCTCCAGTTATTGCTAAATTATCCTTTGAYATTAAGTACTTAAAAATTAAATAATAATTCCGTGCTGGTGGGTCTTATAAACTGGCCCTTTGTTTCAGCTGCTGAAGAGTTTATGTAGCAACTCCTTTCATGACAGCAGGGAAAGTCAGCTTTCCATGAAACAAGACTGTGAATGTCTGAGAGTAAATGATGGGGAAATTTGTCACTCTCTTTCTCCAACCATTGCATCTCTAATGTCAAGTGATATGGGAGGACACTGCATAAACCTCTCCCCGCCGTGTCTTGTATACAGAGGTTCCACACTGAAGCTAAACATTTTCCTTAGGATTATTTTCAGTGTGTATCCTCYACCTCTATTTTGGCAGCATGATACTAAGATTGGCACCAACAATTTCTTTTATCAATCATCCACTATCCAAGCTCAGTGTACTTTTGTGGTTTCTAGCTGGGATTTTCACACATCAAATAAAAGATTTTGGCATTTCTTGGGGACACAAGAGAAACTTATTATTGACTTAACCTCAGGCATGGACAAAATATTCAGGAAGACCACTGAAATTTCAAAGCCTGCWAGGCCAGGGAGCAAAAGCCCTTTGCTATATAGCCCAAAAAGAGCAGCTTGTCAATATCCTTTCCAATATGTAATTTAGAAAATAAGAGTGCCTGTATTCACARTCCTCTCTCAGAACAGAGGTTTATATATGAAGAAGCAAAAGTAAAACCAACAGTCTCTGCTATGTTAATCCTGACAATGCCCACTCTACAAGAAGGGGACCCTGTACTTACAAACACCTTCCTAGGATTGATGTCTAACAAAAGCTGGTTCGACCTTTAACAAAAGTAATCTCTGTCAAAGGCTGTGACGAAAGAGGAAGTGTGTTCCTACCTGAATGCAAGTCTCACAGGTCACCTCTTCCTTGCAAGGGGAGAAAGGGAAAGCCTCAGTAAGCACCATAAAGGTGAAGGAACATAGGGCCAAGTAAACAAAGTTCAATTTCTTTTGTAAGAAAACTGAGTAAATCAATATTGTAAAAGGAAGTGTTTTATATATCAAGCTGACAGCTTCTTTTGGAAAACTGTTACTTCAACGCTTGAACTCCACAAGGAGCATAACTTGCTTTTGCTTAACTGGTATGGAAAACGTCTAGCTTTACATCACTGAATTAATAAAAATAGCAAAGATAGCTGTGTTTTAAAAGCAATATAAAAAGTAGCATCTGGCTTCAAACAGCATTTGAGTATTTTTCTATTCCTATAAAGATGTATCATCTCCTGAAAATAAAAACTGGTGAAASTTACCATTTAGTTCCTGTCAACTACTTTCATTTCTATTTTCTACTTCAAGAATATGAATAAACTTTAGGAACACAACAGAACTTATTAAAAGTATAGCTCTGATTTTTTTTAACAATGAATATCAGGACTAAAAGCAATTTTTTGCTCAGCTTACATTCCAATCCTATAACACATTTCAATTTAATATGTATTTTTTTCCTAGTAGTTAAAAAACTTAATAACTACCAGCATTGTGACTATTCAGAAACATTGACTTCATAAATCCTTTTTGACAGCTTCACAATTAAAATTTGAAAGATGGTATGATTATACAGCTTTGACCATTAACTTCCAAGTTTCACTTCACATTTTATGACAAGTTTTATACAATATAAAGATAGAAAAATAAGCTAATTGATTATTTCAGCTTACTGCTCTACAGTACATTGCTGCCATGGATACCTAGAGAGTTAAGTCAAATATCAAAAGTGGTAAGTATCTTGATTGTTAGTCACTTGCCCATCCTGCATCATTTAAAGGAACTTCAGTTATTTGAAGAACCAATCACACTGAAAAGTTATTCCTAAGAGAGTTACAACAAAATGCACTTAGTATTTGTTTCTGAAAACAATACAGGTGTAACACTGGTAATTATTTCACCTCTCTCATTTTTATCAAGTCTCCTATATATGAAAAGTTTATACTCAGTTTGGCAGCATGATCAACACAACATCACTTCTTTAAAAGACTGAAATTTACTATCAGCTAAAACCTTTACTGGTGCACCTAAACCAGCAGAACCATGACCCTGTTTGATTCCTCACAAAGTGAGGGTCAGTTTTGTCACTCCCTGAAAACAGCTAAGGTTTGCTAATTGCAGTTAAATTACTAAAGCACAACAAAGTCGCTGAKCACAGCTGAAAAGCAGCACACATGTAAACAGCATCCATCAGTTCACAGTAAAGACCAGCTATTGCTGCCTCACTGTCTCTGCAATGAGCCTGTTTAAGCTGTGAACATTTGTCATAGGTTAGAATGGAAACTGTTGCCACAGCCCAACTAGCCTGTATGCCTACTCTGCTTTTCAAAAACTTGATTCAGTTTAGGAAACATCATCTGATTTCCTGGTTGGCCTGGTTTARTCTGTTAGTTGAAAATGTAATTTGAATGATAGCTTTCTATTTTCATGAACAACACTCATGGTAAAAAGCATGAGGCCTACTTACAGTCAATGATATTCACAGAACTGACAACTTGAATAAAAGCGGATTTGCAAAAACTTCTCGTCACTCCTTGAAGTTAGAATGGGGCTGARAACAGACCTATAAACTGCATTGTTATTTTCTGAGCAAGTGTGTTTGAAAGTTRCATTCTAGGCAAATGTGTCATCCTATTTAATAATGATATTCTAATTTTTTTACTTGATACTTCTTACAATGTGCCAGTCTTTGTAATTGTTTTGGGACTGCTATGCAGCTGTGAATTCTTCTCCATAGAAGCAGTGTTAGAGCCAAAACATCCAACAGTAACTTCTCACAGAAATAACTTTCTTAACAAGTCGCAGCACCTGGAGTCTTTTATACACAATTTTAGCCATTAGCTTCTTTACAAATAATTCAATTATCTCAAACTATCTGAGACATGTTTCCAGTTAACTAGCTCATTAACTGACAATTAATTAGAACTCACTAGCTTTCCACAGCTCAGTGTAGTTATGTCAGTCWGACTGCAACACCATCATTCATTCCAAAGATGCAGATAACTACCAAAAATGAATTCTTCTGATGTGGCTTAAAGCATCTTGTACTTGAAGTYTAAGGTTTAAAGTTCTCATTCTCATTTTAATCCTTAAGTGTTCATRTTGAGTTTTAACAAAGAAATCATCTGTTAGTATCCATCATCTGTTTGTATCCTCTAACAGACCAACATGCACTCTGACAATTAATTCCATTAATGAAATAACTAATGTCAAGAACTTACTGAAAAGCAGCAACAYGATGTAACAGAATGAAATTTTAATTTTCATGTCTATTATTTTCCTCAATAAAACCTATMATACTAGCATTTATTGATCAAGCCAGATATGAATCTAATTTACCTAATCCATTATGGAAATCTGAAGAGCTTTTCCACACTTGTACAGCACCATTCATACATACCATAAACATTGCTGTTCTTTCACAAAAAAAAAGATGTCACAGTAAAACATTAATTACATTGTGTTAATAGATACAAGGATGCATGTTCCAACAGCAGRAGTGCTAAACAGCCACACAAATTTGCTATCTGATACTAAGTAGATCAGCAAGAGTTCTGCAYGAGATACTTGATGATTACTGGGTATCTGCATCCTGAGAAAATGACACAAGTAACTGAGTACAACGCATATTCAGAACACAACCCTAACTTCCTTAAAGCAGAGCATCTTTAGATTTTCTAAATGTAGCTGTTCCCCTTCTACCAACATCTGTTTTTTCAAATTATTACAGACAAAGTACTGTTTACTGCAGCCAATATGCCTTGTCAAACACATGTTAAAACTGCAAAAAACCATCAGCTTACCTGCCAAGAAAACATTATCTCAGAAGTAACTTAAACTTAAGATTTTCCACTATATGTTGCTATTTAAGAGCCAGTTTWATCTTAAATTGTGCCGTATCTTTTAAACCCATGCTTTCAACAGCTTTTCACACAAAAGTATATATATTTCATGCATCAACTCTTCAGTTTGCTAATTCAATCACTGACAAGAAAAAAGTTCCAAGTTAACATACTGACTTTGCTGAGAAGTAAGACTTACCTAATATGTAGATAGTCTTCTGATCACTTCTCTGACCAAGGGCATTAGTCACCTTACAGATGTAAGTCCCAGTGTAGTTATAAGTCAAAGGGCTGCTGAACTGCAGAGTATTGTTAACAGACAGCAATCCTTCAGGCCATTGTCCATCCAACCTACAAAAACACAGTTATATTTCAAATGTGTATCTTTGTAACTAGTTTAAACAGAACTAGTTTAAAATAACATTTCTAATAATCTATAGAATGAATTTTTGCTCGGACACTGCCAATGGGCTTTCCTTATATTATTATTCCTTATATTTCCTATATTCTCAGCGTACACCTGAAGACTTATTTAGTATTTCTGGGCCAAATCCTTTAAATGTCAGATGTGCTGGAACTAGCAAGCCATCTAAAATCAACACTGCTAGGGCTAAGAAAAGAGAATCTCAAAAAAGCTTGGAGGACAACTCAAGCTCTAAAAACTAAGTCTAAGAAGCACTTCTGTTGTCAAGATTATCTGCCTGTTCATTCGCAACCAGCTGAGCTATCACTGTAAATATTTCTGTCCATRTATGCTTAATTTAGAGGATGTTTTGACTAGAATTTCTAAGCAAGTGTTCAAGCAGTTTCCCCTCTCCTGAACTGCCTTTTTTCATCTCCAATTACATTTCTGTCTAAATTACAGCACTGAAATGGAACATGATACTTGGTGATATGGTTGGGGAAACAACTGGTTAAAAAAATTATTTATCAACCAACTTTTTTGTCAGTTTCCTGTACGGTTCTGCAGAAATCATAGGCAGTAACAACTGTGTAAACACAACAGGAGAAAGGGGAAAGGGCAAAGGCACTGGAACTACTTTAACAGAGCTGCCCAACTGCTCATTAAACACTTGCTAAATGCTTTCAAGATACTGCAATCTCATGCCATTGCATGCCATTTTGATTTATTTAAGTACATATTAACAGCTAAGCAGGCCTAAATCAATATTCAAACTTAGCATCACTAGATGACAGTATCTTAAAMGCATTTAGCAACTGCAATTTTTTAAGTAGTATTGAACAAAAAGGCACCCAACACTATAAAACAGGTACTCAAGTGAAAAGAACACTCCACAGTTAACAGTAAATCCGGTCTTCAAAAAATGTGGTTCAAGACAACATCCTGACTCCTTTGCTGTGATTATTGCCCAGAAATGCTTCAGCCACATAAAGCGGAAAAAAGCCATCAGGCACACACTTCATAATTCAYAGTACCAGAAGTATTATTTCTATAAACATTATAAAACAGTCAATTGGTTTGAAAGGTCTATTCTAATAAAACTCTCATACAAGCAACAGTTAACAATATTACCAACCACGGAAATTTCACTATCCCAGCAAACACAGTGTCATCTTGGATTTCATAGATACAATTGGTTGGTAAGGGAGTTCTACAAGCTATTGTAATCAGACACCAGTAAAACAGCACACAGTTCAACACAGTACTTCTCATTTCCTCAAGCTCAAGCTACCATCTTTTACATGGATTTCCCTCCTACACATGAAGCTTTCCTCATTGACCAGTATAACAGCTTTTTGCATGGGTTTTGTTGTTGCCCAAAAAGGCACACCAGGTTTATTCCAGAAAATTTAGATTTCCTGTGAAAGTTTGTTCCATTTTAAACTTAGGAAATCTGACAATGACCTCTGAAGCTTGAACATCTTTAAATGTATTTAAATAGGTTTATTTCTTCTAGAATTGCAAACAGAAGTTGTATTGATTAGTTCTTACATATGTCTCAAATTCAAATGAGAGTGCATCTGAAGAAGCAAATGGTAGTGTGGTTAAGAGCTTTTTTAAACATAATTTTTATCTGTTGATATTTCTCATCACACTAGATTTTGAGCTAAGCCTGGGATGGGGATAGCAACGAAATGCAGATGATATGTAAGCTTTTTAATTTTTTCATTAGAGGCATATGTAAATAATAGATGGATCCTTACTAGATTTATTGGTCTTTGCTTTACATGCTGCAACACACAGAGCTTAGTCTAATTTGAGACTTTACCCTAAGAGTAATGACAAATCGTTCAGGCACGTAAATTTACAAGATATCCACTCACCTATATTCATATAAACACTGTATTCTCCTTTTAAAAAGCTGGATAAAACCATTAAAACCAATACAAGTCATATAATCTTTGTTTTCAAACCATGCATTTACTGTAGGCAAAGCGATTATACCACTTGAATCATGTGGCAAGTCCCTTTTCACAAATATTTACCTGGTCCACGTAAATTCCATAGGTAATGGATTTGCATCAGCATTACATTTGAGCTGAACATTCCCTCTTCCAATGAACCAGTTTCCATCATAGCCAGTTACTGAAACTTCTGGGGCATCTAATAAAAAAAAGATTTCATCTATCAACAATCACAATTTTTACATTAAAAGTGGAATATGTGTAAGATCAATAAATCAGAAGGGAGGGGGCTTCTTTTTGTTAAGATTTTTTCTTTTATTTTTTTTCTATTTTTTTTGGGGGGGGATGTGAGCTTTGGTTGTTGGTTCCCTTTTTGTTTTTAATTTAAAGACCATCACCAAAATATACAAAGAATATGATACAGTTCCAAGCAACAACATTAATATGCAGCAGTGAACAAATTGTTATGTTCAGTGCAACTTTCCCAGTGTGTTTTCAGMAACCACATAGCACCTTGGGGAAGTGAGAGGATGTCAGAAGAAACGAACCAGTTTCATGTTTTTGAGAAGTGAGGAATAGTAATTTAAAGCTACTTCTCACTAAAAAGACAAAGCAAAAGGCTCAGAAATAGCCTTGGGGATAAACCAGGTAATTAGGAAATCACCAAGAAGTTCACAGATGGCAACTATAAAGATTAAATTAGCCATTAGCAAAATGTAGAATTACAGCTCTAAAAAGACAGGAGGTGATTTCATGGAGGCCTAGGCCAAATATTTAAAACCCAAGGAACAGACAAACTGGTATGATTTGGAACCTGCTGGAGGGGGGAGGGAGGAGCAGTTGCAAAAGCTGGTAAGTGTTGCGGTACACTGAAGAGCACACACTGTTGCACACTTGCTGCTGTGTATCTTACTATAGARTTTTGTTAGAAAGTCTGAAACATGCATAAACACTGAAGTCAGATAAAAATACTAATACCAACTTGCATCCTCACTTCACTTGCAACATGAAACAAGTTTCTTATTCACTGAGACAATGATGGGAACAAATAATCTTTAGCTCTTTTCTGTATCAATGGTCCTCCAATCTAGAACTTCATTCAAGACTGATAAAATAAAGCAGTRCTAACTGTTTTTTTTATGCCAAAATAAGTGATTCTTTACCAAGCAGAACAAAACCAAATCAAAATCAAATTCTAATCAAACCAAAATAGCCAAGTCTACTTTTTGCAGCGACCACATTTGTTCCACTTGAACTGACAGAATTCTGTGATTTAGGAACTTTAAAGCAGCACATAGCTGAGACAGGACACCAAAGGGACAACTTGAAAATAGTTGTTTTTATTCACATATGCCCTGCCTATCAAACATTGAACCACATGCCTAAAGCTTATTTGTCTTAACTGGTTTTAACGAAGCAGTGTTGTAAGCCACCTTGCTTTATATTCATGTGTTTTAAAAGCCACACATTTGTTAAACAAGCCTAGTGCAGGTTTGAATTATATGAACAACCTGAAGCTGAATAACAAATGCTAGACATGTATGTATTATGCTCTTGTTTACTTATGCTAATGAGTGAACAAAGCTTAGCAAATAATCTGAATTTATTGACCACCACAAGACCTACTTTYGACTTAAAATCTCAAACATGAATCTTCATTAGCATTCTTTTTTAATATTACTAAAATTGTAGGACACTAGAAACAACKTATGGATCAAACCTCATGTTTACCCATCACTCAGTACAGTGTCCAAAACAATAGAAATATAAAGTATTCTAGCTTCATGACTTTATTTTCAATACAGAGAGATACTCTAAGCTTTTATTCCYGCCTGACCTGCCTCTTATCACACTTTTTCTATTCAGTTTTCATTTTCTTTATTTTCCTGAAGCAGAAAGTGCTCTTCTCCTTCCTGTGGAAGGTATACACTGATTCAGAGGGTGGTTGCAAGATATATACCAGGYAGTAGTTACCTCACAGAATACTTACACTGGATGTCCAACACATAAGGGTATCGTATTTCCTTTTCAAAGGCAGGGTGCCTCACAACACAAGTTATGTGTCTTCCTCTTGCAAATCGTGTAGGGACAATCACATACTGGCTTACAACTGTCACCGTTTCATTTGGAAACAAAGTAGAGGTGGATTCTGTTTCACCAAGGCCTCCTTCCCAGTCAATCTGTGCAGCAGGTTTTCCAATGGCTGCTGTACAAGTGGCTGCTACTGTTCTATTTGCACCATCTATTAGAGGGTTTGGTCCTTTTGTTAAGCTCACAACAGGTTCAACTAAGGAGGGGGGAAAAAAAGTAGATTTAAACAAGAAAGAATCCACATCTTTTAAACTGTCACTATGCAAAAGTTAGACCAGATCTCACACATTCACAAATGCTCATGTTAATTAGATATTCTACATATAAGACCATGCATATTTCAAGAGATGATAGCTCTACAACACCTGCTGACACTAGTCYGCTTTGTTCACTCCTTCAAGTTCAGTCTTTCATTCACTACATTTAATGCACTGTCAGGGAATTCCAGAGGGGTTAGGTCCAAAAAGCCAACTGCAGGGCTCCAGTTGTAGTGTTTGATAACAGAGAGCTTAAGGTATTAGGCTGAAACTACACTGCAGTTTTTTTTCCAAAAACCTTAGATTCTGCTGCATTTTCAAGCATTCAAGAATTAATATATATACTGTCAGTTTGGTCACTTGAAAGCTACTTCAGCACCTTAATACCCAACATTAAGGGTTAAGCTAGTGTTGATCAGTACAACACAAATGACTTYGATGCTGCATCTTTATTATATATACACACACACCACACATTAAAGGATCTAATATGTGCACAGAAATATACATAATTGTATAGAAATACAACCAAGTTTTTGATCTACAAAATAATTGTTTCYATATACAAACATTCTATTTTGCCTATATATGTACATTCTTGTGAATGAATCCATATAAAAGTAAAAAAAAGGAAATCAATATTAAGTTCAAGGCTAAAGAAATTGCACATGGAAGGATGTGACCACCTTGTAAAGCCACTGCTCACCTCAAAATTTTAGACTTGTGAAACACACTTCCAAAATGAAGTTGARTTCCTCATGTACAAGTCTACTGCTGAGGAAWAAATTCCATTCTGATTTAGCCAATSTGTTTTGGCCCTGTACAAGCCACCCACCAGCTGCAGCCTGAGTCAGAAATAGTACCTGATCCTTCAGGTACAAACCATTGGTGGGGCTGTTCTAGAATGGCCCATTTGTGTCACCAGTTCTGTAAGGTATAGGTTTGGAGTATACCAGCCTATTCCATAGTCCTGGTCTTTCACTCTAAAGTGGCTATCGGAGTCCTCTGAAGGGAGGTCATTGCYACTCACCATAATGCTTCAGAATCCACCTCAGTGGATCAGCCCTCACTAATCACAGAGACAAGTCTTGCAGCTTCAATAAGGAGACTAGTTAGTTCATGGAATTTCTTTCCAGTAAATTGAAGTTGACCCAYACACATCTTGAAACAAAATAGAGCAGAGTTCACAATATCTGTCAAGTTTTCCAGCTAACTATACCTTCCAAATATAACATTCAGTGCCAGGATCAGTTTTTGACTGTTTTCCCATCTGGCACTGCTCATGTCTGAACAAGATAGTTTATCATTTGCTCAGTTCACTAAAGGGAAAGGCAATTACTGAATTAATAACCTTATAACAATGTATGTTTTCTGTTCTATGCTAAGAACTGCTTGAAGAATAAAAATTGTTATGAAACTGAAGATTGTTTGGGCAAATACTGAGAGCAAATTATTTTCTACTTTGTTTCTCTCAGTCCCTACTTTGAGATGTTAGTAACCCTATGGAAATAAGTCAATAGCAGCTTTTTCTGTCAAGTTCCACACTTGCTCTTCTAGATCTGAAGCCTTTCTAGTAGCTTATTCCAAAATCTGATTTGCTGCTCTCCAAAACTAGCAACAACTAGAGCTTTCTGCAATAAGCTTGGATAGCTGAACTGATGTACTTATTGAAGCATTGTATCATCCTGAAAAAAAACCCCTTTAAAACCTCATACGGTGAACTTGACATTAGACAGCTTTGTTATTTGACCCACAATTTGGTTTTCCTGATTTAACATGAACACTACTGCCTTGTTTCTCCCCAAATCACTAATAGTAACTTCAATTCATTTGAATATGAATTAACTTCATACCAAAACTGTAGACTCCAATCATTCCAGCTGGAAATAAAGTTTGATATGCTTTATTCTTTTGAGTTTTCTTAAAAAAAAAAAAAGTTTGATATGCTTTATTCTTTTGAGTTTTCTTAAAAAAAAAAAAAAAAACAAAACAGAAAAAAGGGTACACAACTGCATAATTTTTCCTCCACCTCTTTGTGGAGGAATACTTAAGTAAACAAGAACTCTTAACTAAATTGCAGAGACCTACAGATGCAAAGCAGAGTACTCAGTACTGTACTTTTAGAAAAAGAAGTCTTCAAGTAGCCAGAAAGCAGGATAGACTAATTAAAAAAGCCTACTTTCTCATATGATTATAATGTTTAGGGAAAAAACTCTACTTTCTCAAGTGATACCAGAGATTCGTCGGTTTGAGTTCATTGTGTAATATTTGGTTTTACACTTTTCAACTAGATACAAAGATGAACTATGCAAAACTACTCAGCTTCAGAAAATATACTTATTCCCAGTTATATGTGTTTCAGYGCTCTGTTTTTTTTTATACTTCACAAACGTTTAGGATTCAACTGTCACATTTTTCCATAAATCATGATTCTTGTAGTACACGCCAACTACAAGATAACTAAATAACCACATACTAAAAAATGGAAAGCAACTGCTGTTAGGACACTAATTTCCATAGTTTATCATTCAGGACTACTTTGTCCCAGCAACCGAAGCAAAACCAGCAGAAGCCCAGCTACTTATTCTATGGCCTTTATAGATGTTTCAGTCATGGATTAAGAGAAGTACCTGGTGAATTACTCCATAATTACAAGGGGCTGTTGGCACTTCTTCTCTCACAATACAAAACAGTTTTACCATTTTCAATTTGGAAAAGAGATTATCCAAAGAATGGGGTTTGGAAATTTTTTGGTGGTGATTTTTGTGAGGACAATGCTTTGTCTGGCAAAGAAAGTCATCCCCAAAGATCCAAAAGCAGGACCTGCTTCCACAGTGTAAGAGATCCATATAAAGCAACATTATGGCATGAATTATATTTGAATATTAAAGACATGATGGCTGAAGCATGGAAGCTAGATGTGCAGTTGTTCAAAAGGTATTGGCCCATCTGTGCTTGCCCTTTCACTGACTCATGACCACCATCTAATTTAACCCTGCTTATTCTACCTTCACGTTATGTTCAACATGGACAAATCAGAAATCTTTCACTGCTCAAGCTCCTACACTTAATTACAAAAAAAGAACATAACACAGCATCCAGAAAAGAGCCTTGAATCCTACTGGATTAAGTTTCAAGGCTAAAAAGCTGCTTCTTTGTTTCATGTACTTCATAAGCCTTTCCAATTGTTTCTGATAGTTTTAAAACTTTTCTCCTGCACACACTGTGGACAGGAGGTCCGGATGAAATTGGCATGATTAGAACACAAACAAGATTATTTCCTCCTGYCATTAAATTCACAAATTCCTTGGCAAAAGCATGACACTGGGAATTGTCATTCCCTTCATCACAACATTTACTTGATTAATTTCTTTCCAAAACAGTATTTCAAAATTTATTTTCTCTCATCTCAAAACCAGCAGCTTTGTCTTTCTGTGTACCTTATCCAGTTTGGTAATTATTATTACTTACTTTAAGTTTTCTTGTTGTGGTAGTTTCGATGGGCTTTTGTTAGTTTGTTTTAAGACCAGTCAGTTCACTAATTTGTCATCTGCTTGACACTTTTTCTTGGCCCAGAGTACTCTGTACTACTTAAGAAGAACACGTACACCTCATCAACTAGAACTTCTCAAACACCATTACTTCATCAGAATTGTCTGAGAGGATCCAGTGTCTGTTTATACTATGTGACATGTATCATCTTTTMATTCCTAATTGGAAGAATTTCTGCATTACTGTGTCTGGGATTTAATTCATGGTGACACCTACACCTTTGACACTCATCTGTACAGCTCATTCTTCACTTGTAGCACTGGTAAGAGCTAGGCTGCAGAAGAACAACACCTACTTTATCAATACCCATGCTGAGAAATTCAACTTAGAAAGATGAACCAAACCAAACATTTGAAATAGTCATGGACAGCACTGAAGTTAGTAATATAAAAATTACATCAGCTCTGCAAACCACTGTGTCAAACCAACTCTTCTGCCATGAGACACCAGTTTGCCTCATTTGGTCAGCACCTTGGGAAACCAACTTGATAGAAAATTATTTGCCATTTTCTGCATTAGTTTAACATGGCAAGTTTGATGAACTTAAGTTTTAGACAAGTTCAACATATCTGTTCATATTTTCCCTGTCTTAATCTCTTCTTTTACAGTGCATTTCCTTAAGAYAAGGTAAAGCAAATTGGTAGTTGGCAAATTCACCAAACAGGGCACATTTGTTAAAATTGGGGTGCATAAATATGGTCTTAAGTGACCAGTGCATTGTGGCAAAACACAGGACATTTATATTGCAGTTACATTTTTCTTCCATTCGTCTTCAGTGTCTCTGCCTTACAGTGTATAAGCACCTACTACATGATTAAGTATGTCCACTACACATGGAAAGGAAACAAATTCTTTGCTAAATAAGAACAGAGCTATTCCATTAGAGCTATTCCAWACCTTAAGATTCTGATGAGCTTGGAATTGCTGAGTTCAGGCCAGCAAACTCCACAAGTTACTAATTTACATGCATATTCTGAAAATAATTACTTGCCCAGTATTTTTACTGTTTAAGCCTACATGTCAGTGTAGCAAAAAAGCTTCTGGGACAGAAAATACACTGCCAAGGCCAAAGAACTTAAATCCAGCAGAGGGTTGGCTACCTAGTGGTACATGCAAGTGAAGCTGCTGCTAACTAGGATGGAAAGGCATCTTTGTAAATAACAGCTGGGTTTTGCCATTTAGAGGCTGATACCAAGTCCTGAGAGACTTACAGCAATTAGCAACCATCCACATCAATGATGAAAAAAGCTATGATCAGAACTATTGTATGCCTGACCAATACTTCTTTGCCTATTTCGACTGCAATTTTTCATAATATATATCTAATCGAACAACTTGTGGTCCTTCTACACTTTCAAATGTAGAATAATAAACACACAAGACATACATGTGCTTTCCAAGTTCCTCCAGAAACCTGAAATTACAAGGGCAAAATGGACACAGCTACTATTGTGATCTAAAAAAAAGAAATCTTAGAAAGGAACTGACTAGAAAAGAAAGGACAAAGCAGTAAGAACTTCCCACTGCTTAGTGGTAAAGCACAACAGCTGAAACCTGAAGTCAAAGGACAGCTACAATAACCAGACATAGCCACTTGCAATACTGGTGGAAGACAGATGAAAAAGAGAGCCACAAGACCACATGCTTTGTGCATTACATAAAATTTTGGTCATTACTGGTTTCAAACTGGATTATGCCATTTGCTTTCATGCATTTATTTTGCCCCACCTTGTGGTGAAAACCATTTTACATACTGTGATACAGACATCTGATTAATCCCATTGAGCATTCTACTACGATGAATAGCAAGTATCAAAGACCAGGAGATGATCCTAAAAAGCACATCTGTTTACAGAAATAGTCATTGATAACCACCTCTGCTATAGAAAATACCACCTGACTCCTTAGACTATTATAAAAAATATTACTACTGTAAGGAGARGGCAAGTCAGAAACAGGCTTTCAAGTTCCAGGGTAAAAATTTTACCTTATAGAGCAGTAACACCTGAGCTCCCTGCACTTCCTTATGACAGCAATACTCAACCCTCAATGAGAGGGACAAAATTAATGTAAACAAAACCCCAAGTTTATAAACCTTCACATTATGACTATCCACAAACAGTTAAGAACCTAAATTGCCTCTTTCTTCCCACAACTCCCAGCAGTTATCTAGACAGATCTGCTTTACATCTACACTGTGCAAAGAACAGTTTACATCACCAGACCCAAACAGCTCTATTAAATTATTGTGTCAGCAACATGTTTATAAAGCCATAGAATTGAGCTGGAAGGGACTTTTTGAAGGTCATCCAGTCCAATYCCCCTGCAATAAGCAGGGACATCTTCAACTACACCAGGCAGCTCTGAGTCCTGTCTGAATGTTTCCAGGCATGGGGYATCTACCACCTCAGAGGGAACACTCTAACCTCATTACAGATGATGGATTATTTCACTGAGACAATTAGTCATCAGCAGGGTTTAGAAATACCTGTTTTTTTATGGGATACTCAGCACTGACTGAGGGTATTTATGAGGCAGTTTAGCCAAAGTGGTAGCTAAAGCCATCTTCAGAAGCTTTTCAGCACACACACACACACACACACACAAATCCTTGGTAACAGCATTGTCTGTCAAAGCTCTGAAGCACTGTGCTGACACAAACTAAATGTATCAGCACAATGCCTAAACAGGAACTGGTTGCTTACTTTTAATAGCTAGACAGTCAAAGAGCAAGTTCTAAAGAAGTAAGACCCAATAGAAGTCTCCTCTATGACATTAGTAAAAATAACACACTTGTAATAGAAGACCAGCATTTTTGTTTGCACTGTTTTGCATTTCTTCATTTTGTTTGCATTGTTTTGCATTTTCTTTAGGTTAAACAGTAAAATACAACTTATAAGTAAGTTTGCAAAATTTTCCTCCTTTCAAAAAGAATTGACTTACCTAGTACTGTTAGAGTTGTTGACGATTGTGCATTTCCAAGTGGGAATGTAACTGCCTTGCAAATATATTCTCCTGCATCAGAAAAGCTTACATTTTTTAAGATGATTGTTGCATCAGTAAGTGAGTAATTTTTAAATGCCACTCTTCCTTGGTATTCTTCTTGAATAGATATTCCATATTCAGGATGATGAACAGCAATAGTTTGTGAATTTTTACCATATATCTTCTCCCAAGAAACTTGTGCTATTGTTTCATTTACATCAATTATGCATTTCAGTGCAACCTTCTTCCCCCAAACTGCTGTCACATGTGGATCAACAACTGGTCCAGCTAAGGCACCTAAAAACAAAGCAATTGTTAGTTGCCACACAAGAAAGTTAYGTCTCTCGGTTTTCACAGAAAGCCTTCTTCAGTAATTAGCTTACCTTTTTCAAAGAGAATTCCTACTTTTTTCTCAATAACTAATTCACAACRGTGTGGAAATACTACAGATGCATATATCAAGTAAAACCATGAAAGCTAGGTATAGATCAACCATTTGTCAGAGGACACTATCACAAATCCACAATTTCATATAAAAATGAGCGGGCAATTGTGTAACTGGTAAAACAGTCTTTTGGGAATTTAACTAGATAKGAACATTTTGTGAATTCAGATTTACCATGAAAACAATAATAGGAGATGGTACTTTTCAGTAGTTTGATTACTGATACAGGGCATCAAGTGAAAAGTTAAACTACTGCACTTATTTCGACTTATGAAATWTATTACTTAAAAAAAATTATTTAAGGAGAAACACGTAAGCGAAACTTCTAGCGCTTACCATACCAATAAATACTTACAGAGCAGAGCAACAATTAAAAAGCAACCAAAAAAGCCCCTATCAAAATTGCACAAACCACTCCATGTTTACATTGACAGACAAAGAACTCTCCTTGAACTTTGCTACCTTACCTCCTAATGAAGACRTTTACCATCATACATATGCAATCTTTCTGCTACACTGTAGTGGGTTGTCTTCACACAAGAAGAATCTTCTCTCACACAGTAAATACKTAAGAGCAGGCATAGTTAAGCGCTTGCTTAGGATTCAATGTATTTCTGTTTAATACCTAAAATGCCTTCCACAGTAGCAACTATTTTGAGCTCGGCATTTTACACCATGCTCCTTTCAAAAAAAGGAAATCCACTAGGACAAAGAAGTTCAATAAAACACAGGTTCACATTTCTTTTGCCCAACAGATAGTCCAGCAACATCTCTCATTAATTCTCTTGGAACAAACTAATCTGATGAAAAAGAACCAAAATCTTAGTCCACACTGTATTTCTTTTTCCTGTGCTCAGATTTTAAAAGACCTATTTCAAATGCTCTGGTTCTCTGCAGATACCAAATAATTACTCAAGTTGTTACTGAGGAAGTTCACTGAAGGAACAAATGTCAAGTCTAAGTTTTAGTAGTCCCATTTCCATAAGCATGAAGAAGTCATTCAACTTGAGACATGAGCTGCCTTTTCACTCACCTAGTTCACACAAAAAGCAAGCCACACGTTCAGGAAAAAASTCTCTATATGCCTTTATGTGCAAGTCCATTGTTAAAAGTTTTCCGCTCCCCATCAATTGATTTTTCATTGCTCAAACCATTTCTGAGTCAATGAAATCACCCAAAAAAGTGATTTAGCTAAGGATTTCCTCAGTATAAAACTACTGACTAACATCAATAGTACCAACACCTCAAGTTACACAGATAAATCAAACTAAGACAGAASTTTGATTATTGATATGTATATTGTTGATATGTCAGTTACTAAGAGRGGCTGGTGAGGGGACAAAAAATAGCCAGAAAAGTAAAAAAATTCCTAATATGTTTCATATAGAGAATATCTGCCATGACAARTAGTGCAAGAACATTCTATTCTCCCCATGCCTCTTATCTAACACATTATTGTGTCAGACACGGAAAAGAGGGCAGCTATTTGTACACCAACTGGCATGAGCAGAGTTCTGCCCAAACTTTGTCTCCGGTTGCCTTTGCTGTGTTTAAGCATAAGGTGGAGTGTTCCTTAAAAAGTATTTGACTAYTGCTTTCTACCTTATTTATAAGGCTCTCAAATTACATTTCACAAATGTATTGCATAATGTACAGCATATATAGRATCTGTAATGTAGTTTCAGTAAAGAAAAACACACTTTAATTCAGAAGTCAGCTTTTGCAACATTCAAGGCTACTGAATCTTAAATTGTATGAAACTTTAACACAATGATTAGCTGTATATAACACCAAACAATACAGAAAAGCCCCACAGGTGAACTTAAAAACACTGCTCAGACTTTTGGGGAAGGTAACAAACTGAACTGAAAAAACATCCCAATAAATTAATCACCAAAGCTATTTTGTTTCCTTTCCTTTTTTTTTTTTTTTTTTTTTTTTTTTTTGTGACAACTCTGCTTCTGGCAATAGGAGGCCTTCGCTACATAAAGATGACCATAGTACATTTAAAAAGTCAGTACTCAACGATTTTGCCACCAAGAAATACTTCTAACAGCTCATTTGTGCCATGAGAATATTGTTCTCTCACATGAATTACATGAATATTTTCCCAAGTCAAAACTTTTTCATTGCTGCTGTTTTCAAGATTTATAGTCTGAACTGAGCAGGTCYCATATATATTTATGGACAAACACACTTGCATCTACAGAATGTTGATCAGTCAGATCTTTTTCCTTTACCTTCCCCAGCAAGGGAGGTAGAGCTAACAGATCACTACTCCAAATTTAAGATTTTTATATTTATCTCATATTCTGATACATGTTCAGACTCCAAAGGAAAAAAAAAATCAACTTATCTAGATGACTCATTTAACTTGAACTTACACATAGTTTATACAACAGTACATAGACTTCAAAGTGTTTCGAGCTCTACAGATAGTTTAAATCTGAAGTGCCGACACCACATATTTAATTTGGAATAGCATCTCTTGTTTTAATMTCCATCAAGTTATTATTTAACTAGCTTCAGTTGCAGAGCAATCAAGCTAATAGCTCAAACTGGCAAGCTAATTTCCATGCAGATATTCARGGCTCTCCAAGACTCAGGACTCTAAGATAAAGTGTTTCCTTTAACATAAAGACTTCCACTCAAGGGTCAGTATTTTGCTGAGAGATTGTATTGGAATAACAACTTATAAGTCTCCTCCAAAATAACACATTTAGAGGTTTACACTGCACAAGGTTCTGCAGAATAAGACACTTCAAGGCCACACTATTGGGGCCCTTAACTGATCCAAAGTATTGGTACATGGGACATACATTTCTTGTTTTAATGAGACCGAGCCCTCCTCCTCTTGAAATCTAATATTGAAATCTGACCTTCTCTGTTTCACATTCACAATACTGAAGTCTGTCATTCTCAACAAACCTCAAGGATACACTTTGTATTCACTTAGTAATCAAGATGTTTTGTAACTACTCAAAGTAAACACAGCATCAGGAAGTTTTCTTATTCTTTTATGTTTGTCCAAGTTTTTACAGATCTTCCTTCCTTTTCTTTTTGCTCCCTTGGAAGACGTAAGATTCTCCTGTACTGTTTCACATGCAGCCTGTTGAGATTGCAATCTCAAGTACCCTTATATGATTCAATTTTAGCTAAATCTCTATGCACTAACTGATTTTTGATCACACAGTGATCCAGTCCATGCTGGCAATCGTCAAGAATCTTACCTGAAATAGCAAGGCACTGACTCTACTCACATAACGTGACAAAAAGTTTGAAGAGCAAACAAAATGAAAAAATCCCTAAGGCTCACTTCCAGCATTAAAAGCCACATAACTAGCGCTATCAAATACTGACCATGAACATAATCTGTTCAATAGCAATTCTTAATTAAGCTTCTACCACTAATCAGAAAAGAGATACTGAGGAATTATATGACAACCTTCTTAAAAYAACAAAATATTCATGCTATGAAATGACAGAATACTTCCCACATTTACAGGCTTGTATTTTGTTGCAATAAATAGCAGATATAGACTTTTCTAYATGAATTAGCCATGAACAAGTCTAATTATAAAGGCAATGCATTTTGTTACCCGCTTAACAGCACAACTCTAGCAAGACAGAGAGACCACATTGACTTTCTAGCCACTGATTTCCCACAACATGCCAACTATTTCCACAAGACAAGACCAAACAATGGAAGAGAATAAAACTGAATTCTGTCCCCTCTATCAGCAAGTTATTTAGCTCATAGGTATATGTGGCCTTAGTACACACTAGTGGCAGGGAGCTACAAACAGATCCAATTAAGAATGACACAGAACCACAAGAACATCCCATCCTGGTGGCAGCAAATTGCTATGTCAGCAGTACTTCCCACGAAACACTCTTAAGGTCAGGCTAAACATTATTGTTAGGTCAGTTTAATTTCACCTGACATCAGGAAGCTTAGACTTATTCTTGCTGTCCTCCTCCTCACTCACCAGTTAAGTGAGACCACAACCTACAAAAACTCACTTGATCTCTTCCTGATTTAATCTTCGGAATTAGCTCAGTCAATCACAAGTGGCAATGCAACAGATGCAATGAGCACATGCAGTGGCATTTTCAGGTTTGTTTAGCTGGAAAARCAAATCACTTAAAGACACCGAAGAGAACAAGCTGAAACCTCAACTAGAGGCTTTATAAAATATATGCTTAAATGACTGGGAAGAAGTCAGTGTGTGTCTTTTGAGCACCAGGCCACGATCAAATTACTGTGTCAAAAAAAGATCAGAACCAAGGAATGAGAAGAGTTCAAGATTAAGTAGTACAAAATGCCTCAACACTAGCTTCCAATTAGAAGTGCTAAGCAAGCACTTAGGAAAAAACTGCACTTAGATCAAAGAGATCATATTATAACCTAGTGCTACTCTCMTCTAAGGATCTGCTCTGTCACAGCCCTTGCTTGAAGTGGAGTGCTAGTCTGTCAATCAGACAATCTTAATCACATGGCTAGCTCTCCTCTAGGCAACTATAGGCTAATTTCTTACAAAAACTACAGTAAGAGGAATATAATTTCTAGTTGGAAATTATAAAATAAAGTTGTACAAAGTTAAATCTTTTCCAAGGAACCTAAAAATCAAAGAGACTGGCACCGATAACTGCGTGAGTATGGGAATGCACGAAAAGGTCAGTCTCTTAATTCCAGTGCTGTCTCAATCAAAAATTAACTGTTGCTGAAGGAGGGGTTTTACTAACATCGAGCTCAAGACAGATGGATTCTTAGTTAAGTGCTATCACAGGATGTTCTGCAGAATTCTGAAATACTCAACCCCCATCTGGGTGCTCCTAAGTACACAGCTGA